AGCGGCTGAGCTCTGCAGGGGGGCCAGGGGCTGCGTCGGGATCCTGGCTCAGCCCCTGGTGCCGTCAGTCTGTCTGGCTCTCCTGGGTGAATTCCGTGGTCTGGTGGCCCCCACGTCCCCTGTGGGGGCCCTGCTGACGCGCCCGCTCTCTGCCCCCAGGGCTCGGAGACTGACCGTGGTGGGGCTGGCCCCCACGTCCCCTGTGGGGGCCCTGCTGACGCGCCCGCTCTCTGCCCCCAGGGCTCGGAGACTGACCGTGGTGGGGCTGTATCGGGGGAGCCTGCCTAGTGAAACACTGAGCCACTGCAGGTGGCCCCCACGTCCCCTGTGGGGGCCCTGCTGACGCGCCCGCTCTCTGCCCCCAGGGCTCGGAGACTGACCGTGGTGGGGCTGTATCGGGGGAGCCTGCCTAGTGAAACACTGAGCCACTGCAGGAAGACATGGAGTACGAACGGAGGTACCGTCTCCCCGCGCCCCGGGCCGGGTGCCCCGTGTCAGGAAGGCTGGGGGTGCTGGGGGGTGCCGGGCGCTGGGGGCGTTGCTGACCCTGCGCCCCTCGTTTCCCCAGAGTTTTAAAATCTTTTACAGTTTACATTTTTGAATTTTATTTAGCTAGAAAGTAATGACTGTTGGTGCGGATACTGATACAAATGTTGTATCTAGAAGTCTGCAAATTAGCAGATACCCGGTTTATATCTGCATCCATCAATGTTAGTGTGGATATCCGCAGCTCATTTTTGCAGCTGTGAGTACAAATTTTGTATCCGCACAGGGCTCTACTGATGTTTCCCCTTTTTCATCTTTCTCTCCGTCGGGTACCTCTGGAGCTTTAAGCAGGTTCAATGCAGTTGAGGAACCAGTGCCTTATTAAGCTGTTAGCCTTGTTCTTTGAAGTTAGTATTCTGCACAGGCCCCTTTCCTTGAGAGAATGTGGTGAGAGTAGTTCAAAAACAAGATGGCTGTAAGCCCAGATCAATATTTATAAGTATCCTTCAGTTTTCTGGATTTGAGAAGGGTCTGGTGTTTTTGCTGACAAGGCTATCATGGGTTACATCTTGAAAGCAAACTCCTGGGGGCAGAGTCTCATCTTGTTCATACAGCGCCAGGCACTGAGAGTCCTGATCTGTGACTGGAGCGTATAGGCAGTACTTAAAAACAAATAAGGGAGAGAACTGGCTGGGTATAGGACAGACCTGGGCAAGTACAGCCCGCCAAGCCACCAGATACAGCCCGCAGAGGGGAGCCCCAGGCAGGCTCCCCAGCTTGACCCGCAGCCCCATGCGCTGGACAGAAACGTGGCTGCAGCCTAGTTTGACAGCTGGCAAGTAAGTCTCTTGGCCACAGCTGTCTTCTGGCACCCCAGCCTCCATTCCAGACCCCGCATCTCCATTAATGTCATGGAAGAGTGCGGTCCTCGACCACTTTCCAAAATCTTGGCGTGGCCCCTCATCAAAAATGATTGCCCACCCCGGTATGTAAGTATTACTGTTCTTAAGTTAGTTCCTGCTCAGTGGGTCATACTTTTCTCTCAATTCAGTGTGAAGTAAATTCACCACCTTTGTGATTTTGCATATTGATTCTCATTTGGAGTAAATAGTTGGGGGTGGAAGGCTGCCTTTCAGTTCACAGCGAGAAAAAGGATGACATTGTCAAGATTTGAATCTTTAACTGTCTGATATTATAACTAAACTCCATACAGATTCGAGAGCTTATTGAGTCCTTCGAAGGTCCTCAGCCTGCAGACGTGAGGCTGATGAAAAGAAAGACAGGTGAGTGCTCTAAACTGACTGTTGGTCTCATTTTTCTCTACCCCTCACCCCCAGGCACAAAAGAGCATCCAGAATTATCACAAATCTGCAAGCACACACAATCAGAATAAAAGGTTTGCCATGGCTAAGGAATGTGGCCTTTTGATAGGTTTTAGATAGCTGAAGAACACTGTAAAAGAAGTCTGTCTTCAGGGATTTTTGTTAAAAGGTATCGGTAAGTAACACTAGTGTAAACCCATTTCACAGTTATGTAGTCTGTTGCATGGTTACCTTTAAACGTGGATTCAAATCAAGAAAAATGTAGCCAATTAAGGCAGCTTGGTTCCTTGCCATGGCAAAATAACAAGCAGATCCCAGCAGTTGACGTCGCATTTGTAAAGCTGCTTTATCGTGACGTAATGAAGCAGTTGGAGAGAGATTCACCTGTTTTAAAGGAACTGACTAACACAAGTATCCCGTCTATATCTGAATGCTGTCTCTAGGTGTAAGCCGTGGTTTCGCCTTCGTGGAGTTTTATCACTTTCAAGATGCTACCAGCTGGATGGAAGCCAATCAGGTTGCTTTGCCGCACTCGACCCCACAAGTACTGCTCCTGTTACCGCCCGACCCACATGCCTGGGCCTGCTCCAGCCCCCCTGGCCGAGCCTCACCCCCACAGGGACTTGCCAGGCCTTAGAGCGGCGCGCCTGGCTTCTCTGCCTGGCTCTGGGAGGGCTCTGGGGTCTAGTGGTTAGAGCAGAGTGGGGAGAGCCAGGCCTCCTGGGTTCTGTCCCTACCTTGGGGAGGAGAGTGAGGCCTAGTGGGTAGAGTAGGCTGGGGCTGGGGGTGGGGTGCTGGGAGCCAGGCCTCCTGGGTTCTCCCCAGCTCGGGGAGGGAGTGTGTTGAGAACATGGGGACCAGGAGCCGGGACTCCTGGGTTCTCTGTGGCTGCGGCTGGGGCCGGGGCTGTGCGTGTTCTGTACCTGGCTTTGGGCAGGGAGTGGAGGCTAGTGGCTAGAGCAGCGAGGCCGGGTGCCGGGTAGTGCAGGGCAGTAGAGGAAGCTGGGGGATGGTGCCAGCCCCTTTTTGAGCTGCATGGCCCCGAAACTGGCACCCGGCCCCCTCCCGCCCTCCACCGGCTCACTCCTCTCCGGGGGGCCGTGCTGCCAGCGTTCCCTGGGCAGGGGCGCCGGTGCCAGTCTTCGGTAGCCCGGAGGAGGCCCCGGCCAGAGC